GGAAGAGGAAATATAAAGGTATACATGTACTGTGTGTAAACTGATACATACCATCCACGGACATTCTAATTTTTTGGAGATATTCACAAAAAGATGTAGTAATATTCACTTTATCACTGACTGAGCTCAGAGCAAAACCCACGATCTGACAAGTCAAAATGAAATCGAGTTGCCACACAATGGCTGACCCATAGAGAACCTGACTCCTCCGGGCTCCGAAAGTTCCAGTTTCATCACAGCCACCTGCTTGCCAGAACCTGGCCTGGGAGCTGCATGTTCAGGCAGGCCTGGCCGCCTTCGGGAACCACTCTATCCCACAGCCTGTTCCCTCTGCAACTGTGTGTGTTTGCTGTTCCCAAATACTCCATCTGCTCTAAGCTGCAGACACACTGAGACGAACCCAGCCAATTATTGGCCAAGCAGATGTCACCGATATCTGGAAGACGAGACCATTGCTCTTTCAGTGGCTTGAACGGGGACTGCCTCCTTTTCCAACCTTGCTTCCTCCCCTGAGCTGTGGGTTTCCTGCCATTCATCCAAAGGAGAGCTGCTCTTCCTGAAAGACGTATGGGGCCTTCAGGCTAACGTGATCTTAGCAGGCAGAGATAAACAGGCTGAATGTTTTATGAGCCTGCCTATTGGGAAGAGCAGTTTCTGGGTGTGCTAAGTTTAGGAAGTTGATATAAAGGAGAGGAAAATCAAGAAATGGATGTTTCTGGTGTGTGTGTGTGTGTGTCTGTGTGTGTGTGTGTGTGTGTGTGTGTGTAGTAGGGTTATAAATGACCGTTTTATTTTATGTATGAGACTTGATAAACCCTGTGTTACTGAGGGTTTTTACTGAGACTTGATAAACCCTGTGCTACGTGATAGCTACTTAACTCCATCAACATTTTTTGAAAACATAACAGCTACCTGTGACTTAAGTGCTGGTGAGTTAGTGGTTAGCAAGAGAAAAGAATCATGCAGTTTACTGACCAATGAGAAGAGGCTGATAGTAAGCAAGAAAACAAACACTTTAAATGTTACTTGTGATAATTATTGGGGAGAAAATAACTAGGATGCAGAGACAAAGATCTACTTTAGGAAGTATCCCTGAGGTGAGGGCATCAAGAGAAGACTCAGAGAATGACCAGGTGTAGCCAAATCCATGGTGAGTCTGGAAAACTTTTCATAAGGGCACGGGCCTGTACCAAGCAGTGCTTCAGGAACCCTATTCTAGAAGCCTCTGGAAGAGTTGGGGTTCTGCAAAAGAATTACACCCTAAAAGATCCATTGCATGTAAAGAACAAACTTTCTTCTGCATCTAGAATTTTGCAGTAGTTCTAATTATCAAATGAACTTCTCTCTTCTGCATTTAGAATAGTTTTAATTAGGTACTAGCTTTCAGATAGGTGGGAAAACAGTCACTCAAATCACGTATCCTATGGTTCACACCAGGAGCTCAAACTGATAATGGCTCTGAACTTGAGAGATCGTAACAAAAATCCAAGTGATAAGGGCCTCATCTATGATGGAAAGAAAAAGGAAACCAGAAGTCAAAATATACCAAACTTGAATTACTCCACCCAAGTCTTGGTTTCTTCAGTGATAAGTAGACATCATGATACCTCCCTGGGAAGATTTTCAGGTGTAAAAGACAATGCATATAAAATTGCTCAGCTTAGTGCCTGACAACAGTTGACATGAAATAAATGTGAATTTCTCTTCTGTTCTTTTATCTTTTTGTACATTTTCTACTTAACCCAAATCAGAAAGAGGTGCATCAGCCTAAGAGACAACTAACTGCAGAAACGTCACATCCCCAGACCTTTCAGAGGATTCAGAACTGTTCAAGACCCTGAGACTCATCTGAGAACCAGACAAGGAAATACACAAACAACACTCCATCTCTTTAGGTACCACAATCCTACTTGTAGTAACAGACATGCTGCTGCCTCTATTCTCAATGAGACATTCAGAGTCCCTGTCAACTTAACCATGAAGAGAAGAGGGGTAGAGAAACTGCGGCCAGAGATTTTGCTGTTGAATATTCTCTTCAGCCCTTTACCTCCCCCTGCACCCTCCATGAACATTTTCAAGGGTCCATCATAGCCCTAGCTTCTAGTTTTCTCATGGCCAAAATTTGCAGCAGCCACTTAGCAAACATTTGTTATTTTTCATCTGTATTCAACCATATTCTACATGACTATATTCATAGTTACGCATTCTTAATACACTCAGATGAAGAGAGGCATTCAGATTAGAGAACTCACCTTCATTAACTGCCTTATACTTTTATCACACTGACTCATAATTGCCTGATTTCTTCTCTTGCCCATTATGTGACTAAGTTTTAGAGGACTGAGCCTTGTTTGTTTCATTCTGCTTTATGCTGTTGTCTGGCAATAATTATTTGTTGAATACATAAGTGGCACTAAAAACTACAAGCCAATAAACTCAAAATCACACATGCACAGTTAATACCTGAACTCATAAATAGATTCCCCCCACCTCATGGGCTTTCTTGATCACACTCAGAAGCATATTCACATGCAAGCACACATGTGAGTTATATGTGTGCACTAGCTCATGTTTGGACTGTCTGTCCCTCAA